CCTTATCATTTTCTGTACCCATTACTGTGTTCTGCTATCCTAAAAAGCCACCAATAAGTCAGGCTTACTTTCTTTTCCCTTCACAAAATGCAATTCCATTCCTCATACCTTCTTTACTAAAAACACACTTCCTACTTCCCTTAAGCAACCAAGAACTGACTTTATATTAGCACTTTATACATCGGTGAGCATAAATAGCAGTGATAATCTCTAAAACCTTTGCTTTCTCAGAGAGAACATTTAGGATGACAACAAACATCATTCACTGAAAATCCCAAATCTTTTTAGTTTCTCTGTGAGAGGAAATTAGCGTTCTGTAGTAAATGTTTCAAAGTCTTATTTTATTTGGAAATGACTTAGCTATTCAATAGAGTTCCAACACTTAGCTTAGCACAACCCTTAGAAGTTCAAGTTATCTCTACCTGGAGAGGCTATTTTAAACAGACATTCCTAAAGCATAATTATTCTTAATAGAGTTTATCTAAAGGCTCGTATCTCATTTACATTTTTTAGAAGTTTCTTCACTTGAGGTAATTTCCTTGCTGACAAACTTGTAACAGATATAATATTTAACTTATATTAAACCTAGATACAATGAAAATATTCTGCTTAATGTTAATCACTCTTAGACATGTCTACATTAGGTAGATCAACAAACAAAGATTAATATCAAGTATTTAATACTGAATATTTCCCAGTTCACCTGAACCTGAAATTCGTTTAAGTTAATTTCTCTTGCATTTAGAATTGTTTGATTTGTAAGCACTTACTTTCTTCTTTTAGGCCAATTAGATTAGAGCTCATTTACAAACTGATCTCAGCAATCAGCAATACTATAACACACACACACACACACTCAGACATACATATATCCAAATAAACACAAGAGATCCTATAGCTTTGTTTTCCAAACTTAATTATGAATACTAGTTGTAAAAAAAAAAATGGTTGGAGTAAGATTTTAAAAGGCTTTGTTCCCCCCCCCCCCTTTTTTTCCCCTTTGGTTTCAGGAATTAGAGATGGTCTAGATAAGTGATCCAGATGTGCGTACGTACCAAGTCGCTTCAGTTGTGTCCAACTCTTTGCGACCCCACGGACTATAAACCACCAGGGTCCTCTCTTCATGGGGTTCTCCAGGCGAGAATACTGGAGTGGCTTGCTATTTTCTTCTCCAGGGGATCTTCCCAACCCAGGGATTGAACCCACGTCTCTTACGGCTCCCGCATTGGCAGCGGGTGCTTAACCACTAGCGCCACCTGGTGATCCAGACGGCTCTGGTCTAAAGGTATAGGAGTTATTTCCTCAGGGCCACAATTCTTAAAGAGATTTTTTTTTTTTCCTTCAAGCTTTCTAAAGAATATTGTGACCACATTGTCAAAAATCGTTTTTCTGTGACCATTGTTTTATAGCCAAAATTTAGACCAGATAGTGCTCAATTTGGCCCTGATGACAAGGGCAGATTGGTCCCAGCAAGGATTGTCCCTCTGGGGAAGTAGGGGTCTCAGTTTGATCAGCCCCAGGATGTTGATTACTGGAGGAAGTCCTGGACATAAGGGAACTTCAGTCCATGTTCCTATCCTGTATCAGTAAAGATCAATACTTTTAGGCCATTTTCCTTGTCATTGGATCATAGCTTTAGATTGACCAGTCACATAAAATGCTTTCCCCGAGGGGTTCCCAGCTGGAGTGTGGAAGCTTTGGGTGAGCAGCTCCCGTATTAACTCGAGCAGTTTGTGCCATGTGTCTGTGTGCTGAAACCAAACCAACAAACCAAACCGAACCAGAACCTCAGTCACACTCCATGAAACAAAAGGCAAAAGATGCCCCGAAATCAAAAGCCAAGAGGCATAAATGCCAAACATGACTTCCCAGTTCCATTAGGCCTGTGACCCGGCAGAGTCAGGGCTAGTGGCCTTTCTAAATTCTGATATAGTTTTAAGCAATTTCTTGTTGATTTTCTGTGAAGAAGTTACTCGACCATTTCCTCTTTCAGAAGCTTCTAGAAACCATTCAAAGTAAGCATGGCCGGCCTTTTCTAATTGTGCATGCAAAAATATCCATTTTGGAATAGGAAAAGAACCCCAATTTGGCCATTTTAGGTTGAGCTCTCTCTTTTTTTTTTTAGGTTGAGCTCTCTTTTTTTTTTTTTTTTCTTTAGGTTGAGCTCTCTTTTAGTATAATTTCTCCAATGAACTAGGTAATTGCAAGTATGAGCTCCACATGTACATGAATCTGGCTGGAGTGCTGGTCAGAGGCTAGCTTTCTGACACCCTTTTGTTTCTGTTTTTGAAAGATTCTTTTTCCCATTTTAAACTGAATTTGTCAGGGATAAAAATCACTAGTGAACTTGTGTAGTGGGCCCACGTGCTGCTTGTGACCTTAACTCCTCTAGGAGTCACCCTAGAGCCGTTTCAGCTTGTCTTACATGTCTTGGATTCTGCCTCCAGCAATCTAATACCACTATGCTGATCAGGTCGCTGAATGGCCAGTTCTTATGTGCATTTAATTAACGAGTGGGTTTCCCTACGGGACCACTACATGGTATGAGGACTAGGCCTCCACCACTCCCGCAAATTTCTCAGTCACCTGAGAAAACCAAAACCGGCCAGGAGGAGTCTTGTCCCTTTTCTTCAGAGCAAAGCTCTCATATATTCCTTACTTTTATCCTGACAAATTCTATAATGGCACTCAAATTGAGGAAAAGTGTCAGATCAGTCTCTTACTTAACCACTTAGCAAAGACCATTCAGTCCTCCACAATGGAGCAACCTCAGCCAAGCCCCAGGTATTCCTCGATTTTTTTTTTTACAATCAAGACCCCCTATCCAGTACTTTTCCACTGGGTGGGCAATTCCCCTGGCATCTTTCAGCCAGACTCCCACCCACTATCTTTTGACTGGGTGGGAATTTCTTGGTATCTTTCAACCAAGCCCCACTCAGGGTCTAGACCATGAGTGGGTGTGCCCTGGATGTTTCACCCGCCCCCCACCCCAGTATCTTTCCTACTGGGAGGGGGCAGGTAACCTGCTCCACCACCAAATAAAACTCAGAATCTCAATGAATATTGGAGATTCGAGAACCAGGAGAAATTTACCCAAATTTGTCTGCACTCCCCGAGGAGGTGGATGGGTGCAAGGGGCCACTGCTGGTACCAAAGCTCCCGTTCCTCGTGGAGTTCAGTCAAAGGAAGGAAGCCCACTCTGGGTCCCTTCATGGTCGCCATAACTGTTGACTTAAGAAAAAAAAAGATGTAAAACTTGAGAGTTGTGAGTTTAGCTTTATTTGGGGCACAATGAGGACTGCAGCCCAGGAGTCAGCATCTCAGATAGCTCTGAGCGATGCTCCAAAGCGGCAGTGGGGGAAAGTCAATATATAAGGTTTTGGTGAAGGGGGAGTTCAATCCCATGAAGCACTCATTTTACAAAAGGTTTTTTGATATCACCATGAAGGGATTTAGTGCTTCTCTAGATATGAGGAGACGCAAGGATTGAGATCATAAAATCTGTTCCTAAAAACATCCAACTATCTCAAGACCTGTCCCACCAGATCATGTAGCAGCACGGGGTTCAGTCTCCGTAGAGGCGGGCAGTTCTTGGCAGTGCTCTTGGTAAGGGCCAGTTTGTAGTTGACATGGGGTCACAAAGAGTTGGACACAGCTGAGAGACTGAACAGCTGGAAGCCAGAGCGCTTTGCTCAAAACTCCTCACTGGCCCCTCCCGACAAGGCTGCTCTTGTTATGGCCCCTCTTCACACATGAGGAAACTGAGGTTCCCTTAGCACAGGTCCATGTGCTCAAGGCAAGGTGAGACCAATCACATGGAAATTTTGGAATTTGGAACAGGGAAAGTTTTATTGCAGGGCCATCCCAGGAAGCTGGTGGCTCAGGACCCACAAAAAGCTCCTGAACTCCCAGAAGTGTTTCCGGAAAGCATTTTTCAAGGCCAGGTGAGGGGACACTGGGCACAGATTATGGGATCAGCTCCTGCACAATTCTCTGAGTGGCTGATGAGAAGGTCACAGGGTGCTTGTCACAGGGATTAACATCATCCATCCTTTCCCACCAGAAGGTCTGGGGAGTAAACGCTAATGGTCCTCAGTACTAAACATCTTCCATTTGGTTGGTGGGGCTTTTTCATTTGGAGAAGACATGGTAACCCACTCCAGTGTTCTTGCCTGCAGAATCCCAGGGACAGAGGAGCCTGGTGGGATATACGGTCTACGGGGTCACAGAGTTGGAAAGGACTGAAGCGACTTAGCAGTAGCAGCAGCAGCTTTTTCATTTGGAGCCTGTGCAGGCAGGGGGCTGCCCAGGCTTTCAGTTTAGGTTTCGGTTTCCTTTTTCCTTTTCCCTGGAAAAGAAGGTGGGTTGCTTTTGCCAAATTCTGGCCTAGGGCTTTCTGGATTGGATGCTGGCCAGTAAAACCTTGTGAGAGGGAAGTGGGGCTCCCTGGGACACTCCATAGGGCATGGGCGTTTTCATCTGTAAAAAACAACTCAGTAATGTGTATCAGATACTATTATCTCCATATTTCATAAAGGAGCTAAAACAGAAGATATGGGGGAGGAGTCGCCCTGGGAAGGCCGCTTGGAGTCCTGTTCGGTTCAGAGGGTTGATGTGGAGTCCCGGGGAGTTAGAGGCAGATGCTAGCAGTAAGAGCAAGTTCCTGCCTGGAGCCAGGACGAGGGCCTGGGTGGGTGTTTGCGGTCTGGTGCGTCCCCTGGTGGCCAGGTAGGAAAACTGCAGTCTGAGTAGTGTTGGAGGTCCCGCTCTTCTCCCTTCTCCCTGCAGGATCTGGTCCGTCCTCTGACACCCTCCACGGCTCTTCATGGTCCGCTCGGCAGGGGACAGAGACGCTAAGTGAACCCCAGCAAGGTCACCAGCAGATCCCTGAGTTCAAAACCCAGTCTCCTCAGTCAGACACAACACTGCCCCAGTTACTACTCACGTCTCAGCCTTCATTTCTCCCAGCTGGGGACTTGCGGCCAAAAAAACGCCCTCTGCCTCCTGCGTTTGTGGTACAGACGAGCACAGAGCTGGCGTGCACCGGGTGCCCAGTAAGTGCAACTGTCTCCCTCACATCCATGTGGGAGAAGGGCCAGGACTTGACATGGGGTGTCCCAGGGAGCCCCACTCCCCTCTCACACGATCTTACCGGCCAGCATCCAACCCAGAAAGCCCAAGGCCACAACTTGGCAAAAGCAACTCACCGTTTTTTCCCGGGAAAAGGAAAAAGGAAACCGAAACCTAAACTGAAAGCCTGACTGCCCTCTGCCTGCACAGGCTCCTTTCAAGGGTCTCCAAGTCAGAGGAAACTCCTGGAGCTTCTCATTGGTCGGCACCGCTATTATGCTAATCAGGGGGCAGGCCTAGCCTATAAAGGTCCCAGCGGTTCAGGATGGCACTACTTCTGTTCTCTGAGACCAGTGCCCGCGGACACCGAGGAGGACATGAGCGAGTCCGTGATGCTCAACAAGGAAAAGGACACGCGTGAGTCCGTGATGGCCACAGACAAGGAAAAGGACGCGCGTGAGTCCGTGATGGCCACAGACAAGGAAAAGGACGCGAGTGAGTCAGCGCGGTGTGGCCGCAAGCTGCCGCTCTGGCTGGGACTCCTGCTGCTCCTGGTGGCGGCGGGGCTGCTTGCGCCCCTGATCTACTTCGCTGTCAGGGCCAACAGCGAGGCCTGCCTGGATGGCCTCCGAGCACAGACGGAGTGTCAGGGGCTCAACCAACACCTGCAGCGCCAGCTACACCAGGCCCAGGAAGTCTTACACGAGAAGGAAGCCGAAGCTGCCACCTGCGAACAGACCGTGGTAAGCCATCGCACCTCCTCGAGAGGGCCCCGAACGTGGAGGTGTCTCGCAGGGTCTTTGTGGAGATCGAGATAGACCTTGAAACTGTGTCCTTTTGTCACTACCACGGTTTGGGAACCTCCAAACTCTCTCTGGGATGCTGGTGTGTGCAGGGGGGAGCCTTAAAACTCCCATCATAGGCGTCAGTTTCCCTTCAGGGTATGAAGGATCTCTAAACTCTGGTGCTTGAATGCAGAGAGCTAGAAACTCCCTTTGGGGCAATCTTGGGGAGCAGAAATCCCCTCTAGGGGCTGGGACGAGGACCTCCCCAGCTCTTTCAACTGCATCCTGAGAGCCTTCGAAATGTTCACTTCTGTTCTAACATGGAGGACCTTGAAACTCTCGTGGACCTCTAACTCGGGCTTTGAAATCATCACCCCCACTTCCCACCCCCCGACCCTTCTTTCTGGTTATAGAAGGAACTCCTAATCTTATTAGGCTATAGCTCAGGGCATCTAGAAACGTCTCCTAGAGTCTGGGCATGAGGACCCTCCAAATTCTCTTCTGGGGGTTCTTCAAAACTCCCACGTTGAGGATCACACTCTTACCGGTGTCCTGGGAAGGTGGGAGGTTGTACACATTCTGCAGGGTGGGAGGCTGAGGGTCAGGGGGAGGGTTGGGAGGGAAATGAAGGGGGTGTGCATCTGAGCGCCTCCGATCCCGGGGCTCAGGGAGGGGTCCAGCACCCAGGCACCGGAGGCCAGGTTCTGACCGTCCCCTCTGACCCAGGTGACGCTGCGGGACTCTCTGAAGAAGGAGCAGGCACGAGTGGAGGAGCTTCAGGGTGAGAAAAGCAGATGACCCGGGCTCCGCGGACTGGGCTAGCGGGGCAGCGACAGGGCAGGTGTTGAAAGGGAGTCGGGAGGGAGGGTCCCAGGGCTGTGATCAGGCGTGAGGAAGGGGGGCCAGATTCCATTTAGGGTGGGGGAGCCGGGAGCCGGGTTTCCGGCTGGGGATGAATGGTCACCGCGCTCAGTCGTGTGAGGTCCCGGCTGCGTGTCAGGTGGCTTAGCGGGGTCACCGTGTCGGCGAGGCCCCTGAATCTGTACCCTATCCCGCAAACAGGAGAGTTGGCGACCTTGAACCAACAGCTGCAGGACGCTTGGGAGAGACTAAGGTGCGAGACCACGCCCCGGCCACGCCCCTTTCACACCACCCCCGGACTCCTGAGTCCCTTTTGCTCAGAAAAACCCCCGATGCGCTGGGGCCTAAGTTTAAGTCCAGCCTCGTCCCATCTGTCACACACCCCTGGGGTGGCCGCTGCTCACTCTCCTGCCCAACGGCCTGGTGGGGGAGGAGTGGAGATTCTTAAGGGCAAAGCGCAGATCCCTTGGAGCCCAGGGGCTGCAGCCTGAGTTCCCCAATCTCTATTCCAGAGGACAGAGTGAGGCCTCAGCGGAGGACAACGGTTCCCTCTCCTACTTCCTGTTGTTCCTCCTGTTGCCTGCAGCTCTGTTCAGGATCTGCAAGTGTCTGAAGAAATGAGATCCCAGAAAGCCGGGTACGAAGGGGGCTTCTCAAGGGAGAAGAAAGCTCAGAGGGGCCGGGAGCTGGGTCAGGGTCAGGGTCTGGGGAGGTGGTCTGCTTGCGGGGCAGACGGCTGGGCACCGGCAAGTGGAATCTGGAGAGGGAAGGAGGGCTCAGTGCGTTGGCAGGGGCCCTAGAGTCTGGTGGCGCTGGGGGCAGAGCCCCGGATCCTTCTGCCTCTGACTCCCTATTCTGCTCTCTTTAGGCCACAAGCAGCACTGGGCCGACTCCAGCTCGGATTCCCCGGGTTGAGGCTTCCGGACCTGGCCAGTCCTGACACGACCACATGGCAACAGATTGTAAGGACGATGGGGTGGCCTGAGGGGCCCGAGCCAGGGCAGTCCTGAGAGGATGCACCGAGTGGGAAAGTAGGAGAGCTGGCCCAAGGCCGCCCACAGCTAGGGATGGCACGCGAGTCGGGTGGCAGCACCTCCGTCCTGCTGACAGCTGCTCTTAGAAAGTCACTTTCCTCTTGGGTCTTTGGACTCGAAATGTAAACCTCCCTTTTGGGGGGAAAACTGGACTCTCAAGTGTTGGAGCATTACTGCGTGACCTAGCCGGCCGGTAGGATGGGCAGCTCCTGGGAGAAGAAATCTCGGAGGTGCCGGGACCAGGGGCTGGCTCAGGGTCTGGGGAGGTGGCCTGCCTGCGGGGCAGACGGCTGGGCACCGGGAAGTGGAATCTGGAGAGGGAAGGAGGGCTCAGTGCGTTGGCAGGGGCCCTAGAGTCTGCTGGGGCTGGGGGCAGAGCCCGGGATCCGTCCTCCTCTGACTCCCTATTCTGCTGTCTTTAGGCCACAAGCAGGACTGGGCCGACTCCAGCTCGGATTCCCGGGTTGAGGCTTCCGGACCTGGCCAGTCCTGACACAACCACATGGCAACAGATTGTAAGGACGATGGGGTGGCCTGAGGGGCCCGAGCCAGGGCAGTCCTGAGAGGATTCATCGAGTGGGACAGTAGGAGAGCTGGCCCAAGGCCGCCCACTGCTAGGGATGGCATGCGAGTCGGGTGGCAGCACCTCCGTCCTGGTGACAGCTGCTCTTAGAAAGTCACTTTCCTCTTGGGTCTTTGGACTCGAAATGTAAACCTCCCTTTTGGGGGGAAAACTGGACTCTCAAGTGTTGGAGCATTACTGTGTGACCTCCCAAAGCATCTGAGGCCTGCCCTGCAGACAAAGGTGGACATCCAGTGACATCCGCAGCCAGCCTTTCCTGCTCTAGAATGTTCCTCAAGCTCTCTGGGGTTCCAGCAGGCACCACCCACTGCATCCCCAGCCCTCTTCTCTGCGGACAGCATCTGAAGGACCCTCATCAGTGCTCCCTGCCTGCAGTTTTCCTCCCTTATCTCCTGGCTTCTCTCATCTCATTCCTGTTTCAAATTCTGATGACAGTGGTTCCACCAGGAAACCGAGGCTGTGAGGAGGGCCCCTTTGTCCTGGCTCCCAATCCCTTCCGGCAGGAAGGGCAGGGCTGGGACTCAAACGTGGGTGTGCAGGCTCGGGACAGATCTGTGTCTCCTTGTCCTGCCACTTCCGTCCCCCAAGCTCCTATTCATCCGACAGTACCCAGCTCTGGGAGCCCCTCCCCCAGAGGTTTCTCTGCTTCTAGAGGAGTTCTCAGATGACTTAGTGGCTCGGATTCCAGGCTCCCGTGGTCTGGGTTCAATCCCTGGTCTAGGAACTAATATCCCATAAGCTGGGAGACATGACCAATAAAAAGGAAAGAAAGCTCTCCCTGAGTGTGCCCCTGCTCCTAAAATAGTGGGTTAGTTCTCAGATGACTTAGTGGCTCGGATTCCAGGCTCCGGTGATCTGGGTTCAATCCCTGGTCTAGGAACTAATATCTCATAAGCTGGGAGATGTGACCAATAAAAAGGAAAGCAAGCTCTCCCTGAGTGCGCCCCTGCTCCTAAAATAGTGGGTGATGGTGGCCTTCGATAACAGAGCCCCTTATAAGCATATGGTTTCTACGTGACTGCAAAGAATGTTCCAGAATGCTTTAGTGGAATGAAGCGTCTCAAAAATGACAAAGAGCCAAAGTTGAAACAGTTTGAGTGACAAAATTAATATCATCACATGTAAAATCAATATCCATGAGTTCACAGGAATATAAATACATGACTGGTTAAAACAATAAGTGAAAGAGAGGAGAAAAGTCTCCCAGGCGGAAGAATATCAAATAACATACACAAATATCTCGCCCTCAAGAGGATGATGTGCGGTATCCCATGGCTTTGGTGGGCTATAAATCATCACCTCTTTGCAGAAGGCACAGGTGGAAGGGAGGAAGTAGATCGCTTTTTGGTGCAGACACCCGATGGCCACCACCTCAGCCAGGGGGCCATGATCAACATCACAGGCTGAGGCAGGGGATAGCACGTGCCCTGGACACACATGTGTGATGAGAAGGGCACTTACCCTCTCCGGTCCTTCTCGCCAAAGCCCAGTCCAACCATGAGAAAAACACCAGACAAATCCCAACCGAGGACCACCCTACAGAACACCTGACTCTAAACTCTCAAGGTCATGAAGACCAAGAAAGCCCAAGAATCTGCCCAACCAAGGGGAGTCTAAAGAGGCATCAGGACTAAGTGTCCCGTGAGAATTCATGGGCAGAGAGGGGACATTAGGGGAAAACTGAGGAGACCGGAATAATGCATGGACTTCAGTTAACACTGTTATCAGTCAGTATTGGTTCATACATTGCAGCACAGGTACCTTGTAGATGAATGACCAAAGTAGGGGAAATGGGGTGTGGGGTCGGTGGAAAGTTTCTGGACTATCTTTGCTGAGTTTGTGCAAACCAAATAAAATGAGTCTTTAAAGAATAATGAGAGTTGAGACTTCCGTGTGGTCTGGTGGTTAAGGCACCTCATTTCCACCCCACCTCACTGCAGGGGACATGGGTTAGATCTGTTGTTAGGGAACTAAGATCCCACATTCCGCAAGGCACAGCCAAAAAATAGGAAGAAAAAGATAGATTGGAACTTTCCTAGTGATCCAGTGGGTAAGACTCCATTCTCCCGATACAAGGGGGCCTGATTTGGCCCTGATCATGAAACTAGATCCCACAGACAGCCAATAAGATTCCATGTGTCGAAACAAAGATTCAGCATGCCACAGTCTATATACATATTTTTTATAGACATATTTTTAGAGCATAAATTCAGAAGAATATGCATTACTTTTTCCAATCGAAATCTTAGATGGAAAGCTCACAAACTTTCTGTCTCCAGGGCTGAGACTAGAATAAGGTGAATGCAGCCCTTTTTGGTTGCATAATGTGGAAGGGCACAGAAAATTTCTATTACATTCATCCCCATTTTACAGCTATGGAAACCAAGGCTGGGATGAAATCACTTGCCCAGGTCTGACAGGGAGGCAGGGCTGGGCACAGACAATCTTGACCCCTATCTGAAATCATGGTCCTAAGCTGA